GGTTCATTTGTTTCTGACAGTCAAGAATGTAAAATATACATACAGTCAATCCTCCATTRTTGACGTTGTTCGCTTTTTAGAATTCCCAAAAAGAATATGGAAACTTTATTTGTTTATAGATTCATACCACGTTCATACAGTTGAAAATCTCACTACTACGTATAGGCAATTTACAACTGGCGATTTGAATTGACAAAAGGTTTTAGTTTAAACCTAAATACATGTAAATAACTCCGAGTGTCTGAATTTCAAAATTTTCCGGGAGAGCATTTGACAGCGTTGCGTGACAGTTTTTCTGCGTGATAGTTTCTAACGCATGCTCCCTCCATAGCTTCCGACGATGTGTACATGTTGCCAAGACGAGCGTAGACGAGAGTAGACGAGCGTAGCCAAGCGAACAGAGCTTTATATTTGGAAAAATGAATCCTAATGCAGTCCATYTGAAACTAGACAATAATGCTGCTGCTTCCATTGACGCTTACTGGGAATATAAAAAGTGAGTAATGCACTGAATGTTTATGCTGGGTTCTTCTTATAGGGTCTAACATAAACCAAACTATAGCTCTTACTTTGCCGTAAGCTTACTTAACTTATCACCAAAACAAGGGTGATGAAGAAACCTGCACCCAGAAATGCCGAAGTTTAACTTCTAAAGTGACACTATATTAAAGTAGTGGTCGTGTATTAACGAAGTTTAATCAAAAAAATCTTACGAGATTTTGAGAAGCTGTACGTATTTCAAATTTTCTTCTGAAACTGTGTAAGTTCTAATTTGAGGCCTTTCGATGGTAGGTTTAATGGTTTTTGACTATCTGTTCAACTTTGAATAGCTAAGTTATCCGTGAAATTGCCTATTCATTGGGTCCTTTTACATAAGTGAGTTGTACTAATGGAGTCTATTTTTTGATCCTTAATATAAGCTTAAATTCTTCTTGACTCTCTAATTAAGGATATAATTTTTGTTTTCTTTTAGCGTTGTTCAATTTTTGTTATTTTGCGTTTCTTTTTCGGAGTTTGCATAATTCCGAGCCTGTSAGTACAAGGCTCTTTTAGATTGAGCTGCAAGCCTCTTTACGCGTATGGTCTATGCATTATTCAGGACAAGTAATCTTCTGTAAAGGTCAGCAAAAGAAAGCTGCAATATGCCAGGGCTTACAAACCACTATGCAATATGCAATATGCCAGGGCTGACTGGTCTTTGGATGGACGGTGGTGGACGGTACTCTTAGCCATCTTCTTAGATGTTGTTCTATATTGTACAAGACAATATATAGGGATTGTTATTTTTTTTGCTTTAGCATAGATAGTCCGTCTTGATTCATCTTCTGCTAATACCATGATACATCTTTCCAAAACAAAAAAAGGTACAAACAAACAACAACAACAACAACAACAACAACCTGACACAACCATTGGAAGCCTTGAATTGTGAAAGGATTGAATGTAACATTTTTAAATGCCAAATGCTTCTTATCGAAGAGACCATCTTTTTAATTCAAAACACAGGGAGCATGCAGTCTTGCTGAATACCAGTAATAATAATTATTATAATATTAACAACAGTTATTGTACATTCCAATGACACACAAATGACATTGAAATTTTAAATAATAATAAGACAGATTTGAGTTTATAACAAGACATCACGTTAAAAAAAAGCATGCTGAAACATGTTTTGCTGTAAACTCAAATCTGTTGTCTTGTTATTTAAAGTTAGTACASAGCGAGATTCATGTTGAGTTATGAATAATACATATTAMAGGTAGAGTACTCTKAGTTTGAGGGGCAGGGCATAAAGGGTTTACAGTATTGTGGCATTGAGGCATCTGTTGAGGGTATAATAGTAATTTGTAATATGGTTTTAGTAGTTTTCAAATAATACATTGTGAGCAATATTCATGTATTTAGGACTCAGTATTCGGTAAAAAAGGAGTTGGGTGAATGCAAGTTTCTCTGATGTAGCGTCTGTCAATTTTGTGTTGTTTTTTTTATGGTTTGCTCATGGTAGTATTATGTTCATTTGGAGGGCTGGTATATTAATTATCAATGGATTTTTCAGAATTGTTGGTGAAGATGATGGAGGAAAGGTCTTTACAGAAGAAGAGTATGAAGAATACAAAAGAAATGTTCTTCCTCAGAGATTAAAAAATCGATTGTACGTTAGCTGGACTAATCCTGATGGATTAGATTGTAAACTAGTTGGTCCAGAAACACCSTGCTTCTGTAGACACAGGTATATTTCATGATCAAAATTATGAGAATTTGGTTGATTATTGTCTTCTATTGTAAAACCTTACAAGAATGAAATAGATTGTGCATTGTGAAAAAGTAACATTCCATTAATTCTTTTAATAGTATTGTTTTAATTTATCTCACTAAWTAGTTGTAATGGTGGAGGGTCATAACCAATGCACATAGCTCATTGATGTTTGTCCGCTTCAGATTCAAATTATTGTGTTGTTGAAGAATAAAAAAAACAATTGAGCATTGGAATGCTGTGATGGTTGCCCTTGGAGGCATTTTTTGAAAATCCAGTTTCCAAGGGCAGCTATCGCAGGTGGGTCATCACTTCTCTCAGAATGAATTCTCTGATTGGCTGTGTCATTCTTAAAAAGAACATGCTTTCTTATTTTGTTTTGAAYAAGCCTATATTGAATTGTATGTTCCAAGAGRTGAAAGCCACCCACTATCATAGCATAATGCCCTCAATTCAACTACTCCATTGCTTAACCAATGACCTTCACTGAGACATAAATGATTAGGTATCTTTTTAATGTTGAAGGCATATCATACTATGTGCAGCTATTAAAATAATTGAATAAAAGATTAAGTATTTGTACATYTTCTGATAGTATCATATTGCACATTGTCTTAGAATGTTGATTAATGCTATGTCCTGCAATGATAATATTTTGATATTGGGTAAATTTTTTTTTTAGCTATCATAGTGTATTAAAAAAAATTAATTCTAAAACTGCTTCATCAATTTATCCATCTTGTGGATATGTTTATACAGATATGTTCAACACAAGACAGATTATAAAAAGATWCCAGAAACACGACCAATCCCAATTCCTTGTAAAATTTCAGCTTGCAAGTGTCGTAATTATAATTACGTTCCTAAAAATGGATCTCAGCCTATCAGATGTCAGTGTAAACACTATGCTGATGATCATTCAGAGTGCTTACCACATCGTTGCTTAAAAGATTGCAAATGCATTGCTTTTAAAAGTTCATTCACATGCTGTTGTGGCTATCCAACCTATGCTCACAAGGTATGTATGATTACTGTACTATTACTGGGGGCGTTTTTCGTTAATTTGATACTAAGATAACAACACACTTTCCCTACTAAGGAACCTGTCAAATGACTTTCACATTTAACGTAAATATGGGTTACCCAAACAGCTTAACAGTATGCTTTCTACAGGTAGGCCAAAACAAACCAATCTMATGTGACAAGTGACCTTGAGTGCAGTTGCTCTTGATTTGACTTTTAATAAATCATAAMAAACAAACTAAACCTGACATTATTGACATGTGATTTCAATCATGGCATATGGTGTAACAAAGCGCGTGTATAAATTGGAGGAGACTCTTTATTTAAGTGTTTATTAAGTGTGATCTCAACTTGRCAATCCAACTCCAAACAAGTGCTGACATGTCCTGTCACTTATTACGCRGTATGTGATGTCCTACTGTATATCACATGACAGTATATCAGGTGACTGTAAAAMAATGCTACAATTCCCCCTAATTTGACTCTAAATCAATGAAGACTGGTCTCTTAGTTTCCTTAATAGTCTCCTTCACGTTTCCCYGCGCCATCTTGAAAGGTAGCTGTGCCTTTACATCAAAGCGAGACAACCATTGAGCGTGCAATGATAGATACCAGTCCTGTAAATAATTGTCTGTAGGTGTGAAAGAAGATCTCTTTCATTTCACGCTCAATGGTCCTCTCGCTTCGATGTAAAGTCATGGCTACCTTTCAAAATGGTAATTGTAATCATGAACAATACGATCAATTTTTAGGTAAAGCTTTCATATAAATTGTGGATTTAAATAGATTAAAATATGATGGAAGCTTTACCTAAARATGGTTGGTATTGGTAATGATACCTCATTTTCTGGTGTTATAGGTAATACATGTTCCAAAAAAATCACCATTTCTAATAGAAACTGCTACACTACAATTTATATACAGCCATGTATGTTTGACTGAAATCAGTGTTACTTACTAACTCTAACTATGCTCTGCTGAAACATTTTGAATTGAGTGTGACAGGGAACATGTTTTTTGATTGGTAGACAGTAGTTGAAACTAAAGAAGAGCGCCAGGWCAGAGGKCATCCYGTGGGTCAAGATGTTCCATATGCAGCTATGGGCGGAATAACTGGATTCAGTTCTTTAATGGAAGGCTACATGAGACTTGATGACAGTGGTACTGGGGCACCTCCACTTGAATTTTTAGAACAACCAATAGGTATATTTATTTCATATTGGAAACCATTATCAATAGGAATCCTGCTGATGTTTTATGATATTTTAATAATCAATATATTGAGTATTTGGTCCAATGAGAGTTGTGGGTTAAATGGCTTTATTTGTTATTATAAAACTCATATTCATAAGGCAAAACACAATAGAAATCATAGCCCATGAAGAGAGTTGTRTAWTACATACAGATTTCTTGTTCATTTGCATAAACTTTAACTCTGATTTTCTCGGTCAGATTGATTTTTTTTTCAAAAGTTTCTTTAAAACCTGAGCTAGTTTACCTCAACGTTTCATAAGTAATATGCAATATGAGCGGGCGATCTGTATGAGGTTTAAAACAGCTCGCTTTCAGCTCGCTGTTTTAAATCCTCATACAGATCGCCCGCTCATATTGTATATATTACTAAACAATTGATTGAAAATAATAAAAAACAGCTAGTTAACCTTTTATACTCAAAGGAGGTTCTATAGGCTCCCTTTGCCCCTCCCTGGATCTGCCAAGGCTTAGTGATTCTTGTTTATCAGGTGCTTAAAATCAAATTTTAGCCTACTGGTTATAATCCAATGATTCTTATCCTTCATACGACCTAATTGTATATATTTTKCACTTGTGAAGATAACTCTCAGTGCATTAATCATTCATTGCTGCTGCTTCTTCCGTCTAGGACCYCATGATCATGCTTTTCTCAAGGCTCATGCAGGATTATCAGAGTTATCATTAGAACCAACGAAGCAACAAGGGTTGACACAGGAAGAACAAGACATGGCATGGTTTGAAAAAAGATATCAAGAAAGAGTAAGTAAATTCTAGCAGTATTAGATCAGTGCCAAGCAAGTTGTATGAAGTAAAATTGGCAAGCGAGCTGTCACACTAACTCGAATGAGCCGGGGGGAAAAAACACAATTTGAGGAATAATTTCGGTTTTTGGCAGTTGGAGCTGGTTTATATTTTATTATTCCATGACCAAATTGTAGATCACATATCATTGGAATTAAGTTTCTTGCTCTTATATGGCTTTGAAGTTTAACTTTTAATCCTGGCTCGCCATTTTGGTGTCCAGGACTCCATTGTATCATGAATAATAGCTAATWCAGTGTATCTTGATTAGAGAAAAGCTGAACGTCAATGGTCACGCATGAAGGAAACAACGCCCAAGAAATCTATAGGTAGTACTTCAAGTGGATCGGTCCAAAAATCCAAAAGTGCAAGAACACTACCAGCAAAAGAACCCAATAATAGATTCAAGCGTTAAGCACACTACACTCACTGATTTTCTTCAATTACTAACGTTTAATTATGTGGATATCTATGTATGCATATTATATTTATATAAGGAAAAAAAAGTTATTTATTGCTTAAATAAAACCGGGCCGCTCATTGATTTGTAAACTTTACTAAACCGATGTACKTGCACCACTAAAGTGGTGTCTACCATTGATGTCGTGGTACATTCTGCATGAATATCAGACCGTGTACACACGAGCCCAGAGATTTTTTATCCATAAAATAATGTTTTTAATTGGAGTGTAGCCTTGATATCTCTGTATAGCCTTCTCAAGAGCGGAAATYTYTGTATACAAAATGTGTTTATATGTGTGAATGTGAATTTTGAATGTACATAAATATAAAAACAATCATGGTAAGCGTAACAATATCTAGGGGGTAGGGTTAGTAACTTTTCCTCTTTTCATTAATTGCGCAGTTCCATTTGGCATGATATGTGTGTACCTCAAAAGATTGTTATGAACACATCYTATTCTTAAATTGTCGTATTCTCTTTGTCCTTGTATTTACTCGCAGCGGACTTTTGCTCAATGAATAAAAGTTTGCCCCAAGAAATCTTATTTGYTGAAAAGCAAATAATGATATTCAATTATCCCTCGCAGTGAATTGTTTCCTTTTATGTTGATTTTTCGGCACAATTGACATGTTACAAAGTTTAAAAAGCTGTTAAACCTATTGTAAATATACCTAGATCATAATAAAAGGATAATTTGATTAATATGTAAAATAAATATTTTTTACAATAATTTTTTGTTCAGCTGTATTGATATGCTTTCTAGAGCGCATTTCGTATGAGTGGGAAACGGACGGTACTGTACTGTGTCCGTAATCGTACTGTAACCAATTTCTAGGTGCCCCATTGTTTCACCAAAATTCTGCAGGCCAGGTGCGGTAACTGTGCGGTAACCGTGCGGTAACGGTGTCTCACTCATACGAAATCCGCTCTAAAGCTACATGGCATTTTACGACTTCATCAGTTTTCTTTGTTAAAGTAGCAATATTTCGTCAAAATTATATTTCCTCAAGAAATCACAAATTACTGAAATTGAAGGTATGTAAATCATTATCTAAGATGACTTGTACGGTTTTCACCTTTGATAGATAGAGACGTTGAAATTTGTGAAAACATTAACGCGCTATACTTACATTTGCAAATAGTTGGCGGATAGGCGAAGAGAAACCTCTGATAAAGGCACTTTTAAGTTAAACCTTGCAAGACAGTTCACTGAATAATTTTACCAAAAACACGTATGCTCGATGAAACTACATCAAGGGATTTACACAGTAGTCAAACATTGCAGGAGGAGCCAATTTTTTTCTGGGAAAGGGATTCTGAGCTACATTGTTGACAATCTCGCAAGCAAATGTGGCTCCCTTTCTTTAAAATAATTTTGTTCCTGGCAAACTAAACGTTTTTATGGCCAAAAAGGCTTATATAACGTTTTTTTGGTCAAAAAGGGCTTATATATATTTTTTTTAGTTAGGAAATTTTTATTTTCCTGGTAAAAATTCTTAGAAAGTATTTCTTAGCTTGCCTGGAGAGTTTCTTTTTCCTGAATTTCTCGTTGGCAAATAAGTGCTACTTGCATGAAAATGCCCTTATTTCAAAACTTCAAAAAATACAAATATATGACTCATTTATATCTATTAAAAACAATTTTGGACAATATTTGTTTTGGAATCATCCCACAGAGAAATTTTGATTCAAAAGATGGAAGAACAAAAGGATTGAGTAAATGACGTCATTTACTCCAACATTTTTTGCTCAAATTATTAAGGATTTGTATCAATATCTTCTTGRAATCAGTTGCTTYATGATTATTAGACCCATATGGATAGGTCTATTTGATTTCCAAGTCTATTCTAAGGTTTCGCAATTTTCGTCCAAGTAGCCCTTTAARTAAAAAGTCGCAAAGGAAACAACACAGTACTGTTATTTCCTTCGYGAATTTTTACTGAGGTAAGGTAAATAACACTCTGTTCGCAGGGTAGCTGGCAAACAGTTGTGACTTACAGCTGGCTGGGACATAAGAACAGATATATTTCTCCTAGGAACCCGTCGGCTCCTCCTATTGTTTAACTTGCCATCTCGTCTTTGGAAGCCGTTGGAGTMCTCTATATGATRCTTGGAGACCGTTTATGAGTATTGCGGAAAACCTTGGGATAYATCTTCCCAAAACGGTAGATTCGGCGGACGCGACCGATTCTAGGCCCATTGTGGGATTAATAAGGTTATAAGCCGAACTTCGCATGAGCCGAATACAGTAAATGAAAGGCGTGTGAGATGTGACGTATGATGGTTCCGGGGATACGTTTTTTTACCTCATTCTCTCTTGTGCCATAGTTAGATATTTAAGCCAGCTCGTAAAATAGGGATTGGGTTTTTCACGTGTGAAGTTCGGCTCGTACCTTAAGGCTAATAAGTGATATTTATAAAACGAGTCGGAGTGTTTTATCGTGAGATATATCAGTTACAACACTGGTATTTTATGCATGGTATTTTATGGTATTTTATGAGTTTTATARCTACCTGAATAGATTAGTTATAAAACTCATGTTTAATTAATCAGTTTTTGTAACTTGAGTTAGAGGTCCTCAATCCTCATTGGAAGAATGTCTAATGAATAATTCATGAGTTTTAGAAATGATGTTATTAGTGAACGATTTCYTTTCAAAAAGTAGTATCCTCAATTTTAACCGATGTGCTTTCAATTTTCTTTCCATTTTCTTTTTCTCTTGCAGGATTCTTGCAAAGTAAAAGTATGAAAAATATGCATTCCATTGCTGCCGTATTAATAATAACAGCTAACACATTAACCATAATAGCTAAACCGCCGGAGTGCCGATCCGTCACTTCAATAAAAGACTATACATTAAAAGGCCATACTTATCAAACCATAATGAACAAAGATGCATCAACATGCATTCTTGCATGCGATAATGACCATAAATGCTTTAGCATAAACTTCAAGTTCACRAACAGGATGTGTGAGCTCAGTGACAGAACACGAGTTACAAAACCAGATGACTTTGTACACACTCCCAATTCAATTTACTTGGAGCATCTGTACAGACCATCAGGGTCTTGCTTTAGCGATGCTGCACCTTGCGAAAATGGCGCAACCTGCGTTAATATCCCGCAAAGSCCTGGGTACAAGTGTTTCTGCAGGAAGGACTATAACGGCGTATTATGTCAAGGTATTATTTTTCATGGTCATAGCACGTCAATATTAATTTATGAAGTAAACATTTGGTAAATTCCATTTGGTCTTTCTGGTCATCTCGTTTTCCAGTTTAAGTTTTGCCGTTGACAGAGCGCCATCCCAAAAATATTTAGTTATATTTTATGGACCGTATTATATTCTATAATAGAACGACACAATAGATTGCGGACGCATATGGGGTCGGTGTCGTTGTACGAAATAAAACGCGAAAACAGGTGTGWAAGAAGGTTTCTATCATTGCACGCTCAACGGTAGACTTGCCACAAGTCGACCACACTGTTGGGACACTGATAATTGGGACACTGATGATTCGAGCGACGTAGTCGCGAGACGAACGCCGAAGGCGTGAGCGCGAGCGACGAAGTCGCGAGTGGTCGACTCAACGGTCGTCTCGCTTCGATGCAAAGGCACGGCTACCTTTCAAGATGGCGCAGTGAACCGTGAAGAATACTATTAGATAACAACGGCCTAGAAAAAAAGAAAAATCGGCTATCGTGGTACGTATGTTATTTACCATGGCTTTGACCAATCAGAAATCAAGAAAATTTRTAATTGTGGTAAAATTGTATACAAAAGMAAATTATGTCGTAAAATACCCATTTKTACTTCCAATATATACAGAAACCACAAATGTGTTATTTTCACAAGTATTATTTATAATACCTATATTACTTATTTATATTACTTATAATCACTTCATAGATAATTTTATGATAATTAATACTATATCTATGACAATAAAAGAGTTTTAAAGATTAAGATGYACAAAAACGAAAAGGTTGTTTTTGAAAATGTACTATCGGCTGGCTATTAGGTACAGGTGCGGATTCAGGATTTTCCTCAAAGAGGAGTGCGGGTCTCTCAGGAGCAACATTACCATGAAGATACAAAATAAAGAAAGTATTGAATGATACAGATATCAGGGGGGGGGGGGGGGGCCGCACCCACCAGCTGGATCCATCCCTGCTGTTCCAGAGTAAAATCGCTGAAAACGATACCCTGGTTGGCGGCAC